ATTCATTTCACACCATTTTGGGTCATTAAAATGTTCATTTTTCTCCATTTTGGGTCATTCTTGCTCCATTTCGGGTCATTTTTGCTCCATTTTGGCTCATTTCTGTCACTAATTCACTCCATTTTTGTTTGAGTTTTATTTCAGCTCATTTTTGCTCCATTTCAGGTCATTTTGCTCCACTTTGGGTCATTTTTTATTTCACTTTATTTTTGCTCCATTCTGGATTATTTTTGTTCCATTTTGGGTCATTTCACCCCATGTTGGGTTTTATTTCAGTTCATTTTTCTTCACGTTGGATCATTTTTCCTCCATTTTGGGTCATTTTTGCTCCGTTTTGGGTCATTTTTGCTCCGTTTCAATTCATTTCACCCCATTTTGGGTCATTAAAATGTTTATTTTTGCTCTGTTTTGGGTCATTTTTCCTCCGTTTCGGGTCATTTTTTTCTCCGTTCTGGGTCATTTTTCTCCATTTTGGGTCATTTTTCCTCCGTTTCGGGTCATTTTTTCCCCATTTCAATTCATTTCACCCCATTTCGGGTCATTAAAATGTTTATTTTTGGTCATTAAAATGTTTATTTTGGGTCATTAAAATGTTTATTTTGGGTCATTAAAAAGTTTATTTTTCTCCATTTTGGGTCATTTTTCCTCCGTTTCGGGTCATTTTTGCTCCATTTTGGGTCATTTTTTCCTCCGTTTCGGTTCATTTTTTCTCCATTTTGGGTCATTTTTCCTCCATTTCGACTCCTCTTCCTCCTCCACCCCCAGATGGGTTTTTGGGGTGTTTTTGGGGTCCCCTCTCAGAGCAGGGCCCGTCCCTTCTGGGTGGGCAGGACCCCAAAGCGTCGTTTTAGGGCCAAACGGTGCCGGGAGAATTTGTCGTCGGGGGAGAACCGGGCGGGGTGGGCCGAGAACGTGGGGAGACCCCCCGGGGACACCTTCTGGGGGGGCAAAAAAAGGGGGGTCAAGGACCCCAAAATATCCCCAAAATACCCCCAAAACC